TAAACTAATGTATTTAAATCAGTTATTAGATCAGGAAAGTATGAAATAAAGAATTGTGAATACTTCAATCAATACAAAAAATAAGCAAAGGATCTATCCTAGAATAATATTTGATCATAATCAAAAATCTCTCAGTTTAGCAAATACAGTAGTTTATAATAACTTAAAAAGAAGATTATATAAAATAAGAATCAAAATACTTTAAAATAAGTTCTAATCAGACAAGTGATATAAACTGTAGATAGTATAATATAATAAGAATAATTAGTTAATTTGAAAAAAATTAAAACAAGTAAGAAAGGAATATGATGCAATAGTGAAATACTTCATCTATTATAGTACTAATTATAATAAAAAAACAAGATTACAAAAATACACTGGATGCTTAAAAGAAACAATACAAAATAATGGCTATATTATAAAAAGAGTTAAAGCAGAAATCTATATAATATTTTATTTCAATAAAGGATATTTATTAGAAAAATAAAAGAATTGAAAATCCCAAACTCCAAGACAATACTCAAGAATATGATTATAAAAAAATTTATAAAGTCAATATCTTTTCAAAACTTTTTTTCAAAATAATAAAGTAGACTATATGGATATTGAAACTTAGAAAAAAACCATAATTAGAGAAAATATTGAAAAAGGAGTATATCAAGATTAGTTAATAAAAATATTTCAATACAATCTAGGATTTAAAGAAAAGTTGATTTTTTATTCTGATAAATTACTTAATAATTATAATAAAGAAGAAATGAAAATGGTTACTATGTAGATTTAGATAAAAAACATTGGAAGAGAAGGCAGATTCAAACAGAAGTAGATAATTGACCTTCTTCTATAAAAGCTGAGTTGGTAACAATTCTAATTATACTCTTAGTAGTTTGTATTAATAGTATAGTTGAAATTTGTACAAATAATTAGGTTTGTTTTATCAAATAGTATAAGATAAAAAAAAAGAATTTGAAAAGAATATATAAGAAATAGCTAAAAGAAAAAAATTAATCTCTATAGATACAAATAGTAAAGCTAATAAAGAAAAAAAAGTAAATCAAAATCAAAGCATACTCCAATAATTCTCATAATAAAGAAGCAAATACCTTAATCAAAGAAGTTTTAAAACTTTCACTAATTGAATAGAGAGATATTAACTTCTACAAGATTATTATAAAAATCAAATATCAAAACAAGACCTTAGATAACTCAATTAAGCAGCTTATCAAAAATATAAACAACAAGATAACAGCTTATCAATGGACTCAACAAAATTAAATAAAGAAAAAATAGAGCCACTAGATTTTAGAATAGCAAGAACACATATGGAATCTAGTGTGGAAAAGAATAAAAGATAGTTATATATGGGATACAGTCTTTAAAAAATCTTAACAAAAAGGCTTTTTCATCAAACTAATCAATGATAAGTTATTAATATTATATAAATTGGCTACAAGAAAACTCAATCTATATAAGCAAGTAAAGTATATTACATGTAATCATTAGAATGAAACAATATAATACTTGCTAGAATATTCAACCTATAAGAATAAATTTCAAAAAACATGGAATAAAGAAATAAATAGAACTTTTAGAAACTTTAAAAGCTTCTTTAAGAAAAAAGAAAGGAGACCTACAGGCCCTAACAGAGGAAAGTGCAGCAAGAGCTGAAGACAAACAGACAGAACTGATTTATAACAAATGGAAAAGAACATCAATAACACAGAAGTACAATGAAAACATCCAAGCATGGCATTAAGTTAAATAGAAGAACATCGTTAAGGGAGTTATAACATATGGCATGATCCAAGTAGCAGAATCAATAACCAAAGATAGAACTAGAACACTAGACGCAATCAGAGAAGCAACACACAAATTTTGGCAAGCCAAGCAAGAAGCATGGAAATGGAGATGTAACATTACAATCAATTGGAGAAAAAGCTAAAACATAGGGAAAAAACTCAAGCATAGGAAAGGACAGGTCAAACAAAATACAGTCAACTATCAAATAATACCACAGAGCCCAGACTCACCAATTATATAAGCCATCAAATCTTTCAAGTCAGATCCAGAGTCTACATAAGTCCAAATAGATCTGAACAAATATCTTAAGGACAGGTTTGAGAAACTATACATAGAACTTACAAATATCATAACAGAGAATACCCTTAATAACAGTTACTTCTCTTTCTTTTTCTTTTCAATCAATATTAGTGCTAGTGGAGTCTTGACACGCTAGTGCCCACCAAGGTGGACTGTAGCAAGTCACAGGATTTCTAGTAATAAAATACTGAGTCATGGTATTTTTTTTCTTTTGTAAATGTATAGACTCGCAATTAAATTTGCATATATAAGCCTGTATTAATGAATAAATAAAAACTCAATGGCAGAACTTCGCCAGTTTAAAAAATATATATATATATATATTATAGGAGTTCACAGTTCGGTAAATTTTATAAATAATATTTTACTATACTTGAGTTATATATTTTATCCAAAATTTCAATTAAAATTAATTAAAATTTATAATATAAATTTGACATAATAATATAAATATTAATAATTATAATATATAACTTCAAATCTATTGAATGTTTTTAATATAGTGATATTATCAAGTTTGTTTATTAATGTGCATACTGATCTTAATAATAAATTTATAATTGGGTTGATATTGAATCTTTGTGAAATTTGAGATTTTATTTCTTTTATATTATTAAGAAATTAATATAAGTTTATATTTTTTGTACTATATCAAGTTAATTTTTTCTACAGGTTTTGTAAATAGATAGGATTGAATATAACAGAAGTATTTTAAAAGTGCCATGTTTTCTAGATTTAAGACATAGTAAGATTCTTCAATTATTGATTAATTGAAGTAGTTTTTTCTGATTTTTATAAAATTCCAGATTTGCATATTTTAAAATATCCAAAAAAATAGTTTCAAGTTAAATAGTAAAAGTTTGTTATTAGTTATTGTTACTTTACTGTTGCTTAGTAATAATTTATTTCAAGTTAAAAGTAAATATCCTAATTATAATATACTGAAATTAATAATTTAAAGATAACAAAAGTTATATAAATATATTGAAAGAGACTTTGAGTAATTTGATTTAAATAGAAGAGTTATTGGAGAAATATAATATTAAGAAAAAGAAAACTTAATATATAAAATTTTAAATCAATTGTTTTAAATAATTGACCTTTATATACTGTATATAATTGAATGTTAATTATTTGATAAGAAAATTTGACAAATGCCAGATTGCTTATTTAAATAACTTATTAATTAAATAAAAAAATTAAATAATGTGTATCACTACTTTGCCTTATTAATTGGATTTATCTTATGAATCAATTAAACATATTTTGTATTATATCTATCATATTATTTAAAAATAGAACTAGAGTAATATGATAGATAGGAACCATAACTAATAATTAAAGAAGAATATAGCTATTAATTAAGAATAACACTATATACAAAAAGTAATATAAGTATCTGAATCATAACAAATGTTTTATTGTATCAATAGGCCTATAAAAAATAGATTATAAATAGTAATTCAATTTTGACCGATTAACCTCTTATTTTAGGAAAGACAAGTTATAAGTATTTTCCTGAATAAATCCCTTCAATTGAACTTTATTTGATAGTAAATTGTCCAATGTAATGTTGTTACATCAAACAGACAAAACAAGGCCAAACCATTGTTATTAAAAAATTCTATTATTATTATTATTATTATCAAAATATTTCTTTTGCTATTTTAAATTTATTTTACTCATGAAATTGTTAATTTAACATGATATGCGGAATTTTTCAATAATTTCTTGGTCACATGAACCGGGTTCGGAAACCAAACCATTTGACCTCCTCAGCCTCAACATACAGCAATCAAATTTAATACTGCAAGCACTGCAAGTCGATTATTACTCTTGATTGATTGCATTTTGGGAATCATTTTCTATCAAGATTAAAGTACTTACTTGTACGAATGTTATTATTTTTCGCAAGTCTCTGTCGCACACACGAGTGTCGTTATTTTCGCCTCACAAATTTCTGTCGCAAATTCATTCATTTTGGGTACACGTACAAATGGCATGACTTCACCTCAAAAAAATGTGTGTCATGCATTCATTCATTCATTCAAGATTTTTGAAGCACTCAATGCGAGTGTTGTTATTTCACCTCAAAAACGTGTGTCGCACATTTCTCCCCTTCTTTCAAAGGTCGGTGTACGTACTATATACAAACATCGTTATTTCACCTTAAAAAGAATTCTGTGTCACACTTTCATTCATTCATCATCGTTACGGGACGAATACCTTATCCAATTAGGTCGTTCTCCCACGACACGGGCAGCATAAATGATTATATGGTCTATGGATATTTTCAAATTATATGAAAGTGGAAATTTTTCCCAAAACTCCTTAGTGCGATGACATGATCCTCCTTGATTGGCGAGGTAGGGTAAGGTGAGTAGTGCAAATTAATGTTTCCACTGATCACTTGACAACCGCAATTATTATTGCAACATTTTTCTTATTGATTTCCTCATTTGCGAGGAAAAAGATTATGGGCTTTGTATCGCTCCCCTGATTTCATTTGCAATAGTTAACGAGAACAGTGGTAATAACCACAAACTAAGAAAGAAGGATGGAGGAAAGAAAGAAGGAGTACCTTGATCTTTATGCTGGTGTGGTGACACGCGAGAAAAAATTCTATTCGTTCATGGAAAGTTATTAGCAGAGAAATGGGAACTTTGCACGAATGAATGTTGTGTGATTTATTAGTAACACCGTACCTCGAGAGTCCAAGAGAAAACACTCAATTTGTTCTTAAATAGTAAGACGTATAGAGGGACCAGCAAACATTTCCTATTGGGAACACCGATATCACCAAATCCGAGAGCTAGTGCTTATTTGGACAGCGACAACCAGTTTGTTCCACATTCCATGACGTTCCATAATGTTCTTTTATTAACTCGGTTTTTACCCTTTTATCTAGGAGCCAATGAGTATTTTGACTGCCACAACCGCGTTCCACCATTGGCCAGGCATCGAGCCGGTGGGGCGCAACTGTATATCTGCGCATCTATCGTACATATCACCGTACTGTACCTTTCGAGTGCGAGCATAAATATTTTGTTCGTCAGTTTACGACGGAGATAATTCGCAATCATCCAGTCAATCGTACCAGTAAGAAAGCCGGACGCTCCACGAGAAGGGTTGCTTGTCTAAGTACATCGGCAGTGATTAGTCGATAATTTATGCGATGTGGAGAAATAAATTAATTATTTTACCTGTACGGCTTTGTTGTCATTGCTATTTCCAAGGGTAAGAAGTTCCGGTCTAATATAATTTCATACATAATGTTATATTGAAATTCTTGGTCTTGAGGGGAATGCAATGATTCTCGGCAAATCGACAAATCGTTCTTAATTTCCAAATTTCCATTCAAATCCCACTGTTGCATCATTTTCTTCAACCACAAATTTGGAATTCATGCATAAAATTGCGTGGCGCGGAGTTTGTAGGTTTTCCTCGCATGCATCACACTGCGGCGTATCAGGGAGGGATCGTGGTATGATATGACAGGATATTTGGCGAAAGATCGTGATATCAAAATGAAACTCAGGATCAACGATAACGGAAAGGGCCCGTCTGGGAAATCAAAATGCATCCACGCGATTCATCGGTAGTACGTTTGTAATTAAAAGAGGGGACGGCTTGGTAAGCAAGGGTGTACTAAATACAGGTTAATTCGGGCACAGTGAATTCTGCCATGATCACATGTTTTGACGCTCGGGCTTCCCGGTCGTTTTTTGGTGGGGATTGCCCCTCGTATAATACGTTTTCGTCTTACTAGAGGGTATTTATTGCACAGTAAAAACGATACGGTAGTGACTGATCGCACACGGTCATAAAGTAAAAAAAAAAAAAGCTTCATATCATATCTTCGCTTCCCATGAAAAATGGCGTAGGAAGAATAGAGGAGGACCTTGCGTCTGTTCAGACAAATTAAATGTAAGAATGTGGGTCGGAAAAATGAAGCATGTACGCACGTAGCTCCCAAAAGAATGCTGTTCATTTCTGAAACATGCACGTACCGTAAATCGACGGGAATCCTTTATTCGGCACATCATTAGGGTCACTGATTACTAACTGGGGTGGTGAATAATGGGGGCATTCACATTGATAAATACGTATAAGGTTTAATTTACTTATCACGCTCGCACCTTTTTCTGCAGCGCACCGTGAAAATCACGCGATGGGTGGGCGAATTGGAATGGTCATTTTGAGGATTTTGATCTCGTCCAGGTTATGAGGACACCAGCATCCTTCCTTCTCTTTCTCTTCGTCATCTTAAGAGCTTGTATCATTTTGATCGTGTCAATCGGGTAAAGAAGGGAGAAGAGGGGGGAAGGAGGAAAAAGGTGGAGGTAAGAATGAATTGACCGTCAATTGGGCAAGAGAAAGAGGGTCAACCACACGAACGTCATATTTCAGATTTGAATTGACTCCCCGATGGATATGACCTCAAATGACATATTGTTACCACCACCATCACCACCGTGCATCGCACACCCTAAATATCGAAAAACCAGTTGCTTATAGAATAGTGATAAACACAGTATATGATTACAATTTCTTTTTCCCGTGTTGCTTCAATTTTAGACATTTATGGAAATCATGTCTTGGGCAGGTGGTTCTCGGTGGGAAAAGAAAAGCAATAATAGTGTCGTCATGCTGAGAGTTATGAACGCACGCGTTACAAAAGATTGGATGAATGAATGAGCGGAAGAGGGAAAGGGATTTTAGATCATCTATCCGAACATTTGCCATTCAAACGTGACCACCTCTCACACTCACCATTACTACCTCAAAATTCCCACTTACGGACGATCTGACGGCCGTGACGACAATGAAAAAAATGACGCGCCATTCTCTTCCACCTAAAGCCGGGATGGTTACACGGACGCCAATTTTATATCGATATCTATCCGTCCAACAAGATTTCTTTCCCATGTAATTAAAAATGGCAATCGAGTGAACGTACGCTTATATCATCGTATGAGTTTCGAATGTAACCTTAAAATGAGATAAGAATAATAATAAATGATGAACGATTCAGCATGACCACATACCGCACCGCTTTGATTACTTGATTGCTGTTGTTCAGTTGTTATTATTCTCAAGGTATATTTGCGTTTTAATCTATGCGCATCAAATAGTGCCTGCTGCTGCCACACCACACCATGACTACCACCACTACTGTAAACAAAACTCGAAATGATCATCAAATAATCTACTGCTTTATTATAAATGATTGACAACAACAATACTGTATAAATAAATAAATTTTTTCCCGACTGCATATCTATTCACTACTAAAAAGACTAAATGGTATGTGAGAGCAGATGGTCGTTGTTACTCTGATTGTATTAAAAAAAAAAAAAATTTTTTTTTTTTTCTTTTACGCATAATTTGTGTATTTGGAAAACAATATATATATAAATATAAACAACAAATTTCCTCCTCTCTTCATCGTTCTTGCCAACACACACACACAATAAAAAGAAATCTCTCCCTATCTACCTGATAAAGTTTCTATCCATCCATCTATATTCCCATTTCCATCCACTCTTCGTTGCCCGGTGAAGAAAATAATCTATTCTCTCGGTTTTCAACTTGTCTCATTACTCTATTAAAGGAAAAAAAAAGAAAAGGATGTCAGCATTTGTAATTCCACAAATTCGAAATGACGTTCCCCGCGCCCACACCTATCCGCTACTTTCTTCGTCGCTGCCCAATACATCAACCCCGCAACAACAACAACAACAAACCTCCAAACGTCGTCGTCGTGACACATTTGTCGAACGCTTGCTAAAGGATCCAATCCTTCAGACGATGGCCGACATCGGAAAGCAAGAGGGGACCATCAAGCCATTGCCAGCTCCACAGCGCGCTCGCAGTCGTAACGTAAATTTTGTTAATGATTTTCAAAATCAGAATTATTATGGCGGTGGTGGTCTTCACAATCATCTGCACAGTTCGCAACATGCCATCCAGAGTAAGATATAATGGTCAGCGAGTTTTTTTTTTTGCGACTAGACAGATAATGAACATTGCTCTTTTTTTTTTTTTTTTTTTTCAAATTGTTCTCTATTTTTTTTATTTAGTTTTTTTATTTTCTCTTCATTTATTATTATTATTATTTTCTTTTTTTTATTATTTTTCCTTTTTCTCAAAAAAAAAAAAAAAAAAAAAAAAAAAAAATTGTTTTTATTACTCTGGATCGGACATGAATACGCGGGCGTTATGGTTGCGCTAATGTAGTTGATGAGCGAATTCGAATCTAACATCGAATACATTTCGGCGCTCCAAGAAGTTGGGCAATTTTTTTAAAATTCGGGGGCGAGACATTCTTTTCAAGAAGAGAGAAAGGAATGGAACGCTTCCCGTTTTTCTTTTTCATATAGACAATTTAAATAGTATTGAAGGGATTTTCAACTTCAAAGATGTACATATTTTCTTCCCTTCTTTTTCTTTTCTTTCTTTTTTTTTTTTTTTTTTAAAAAAAATTCAACTCCCAAAACTCTATCACTTTGCCTCCCCTTAACCAATTCTTCATTCAACCTTACTCAGACAAGAAATTTCTTTTGAATAAAAAATAACATCGTACGATCACTGTTTCCACTATTCCTTTCAACTCTTTTTACTTTCTTTTCAATTTTTATAACAGTTGGATTTCTTGAATGTCAAATTTCTCAAGAAAGAAAAAATGAAAAAAAAAAAACAAAAACAAAACAAAAAACAAAAAAAAAAACACTACTAAAAAATCGATGTGATGAAATTTTTTTTTCGTTCCAAATAAATCAATAAAAATTGTCGGAATCTTTTTTTTTTTTTAAAAAAAAAAAAAATTTCTAATGATTTTGATGCCTTCATTCGTTCCACTTTCGTTCTCTAGTGGCACACGTGCATACCACAGGTACTTGACCAGTCGAAAATGATTAAAAAAAATTTTTCTGAAATATTCCCATGGTGTGCAAATGACCAATGGATAATGTTTGAAATAGTTTGGTGTTAGTGCGTCGTGCCGAATGTGCTACCTGCGATAGGAAGTATCACAGCGTTGCACACACGCAAATAAAAATAATAATGAAAAAGAATTTTTTTTAAAAATTTTTGATCTTCGTTTTTTTGGAAATTCGTGCCGAATGACTTTAGGAACCCTAAAAAGATAAGCCATGAATAAACGTTTCAGGGGACGGGATTCATACGACGCAAGATTCTGATGTTGCCATGTTTATTGGGACGGTTGATTATTAATTAATTAACCTTTTAACACATCTTAAGTGATTTCCGCGATGCTATGTAGATAAGTATGTAGGCAGATGAGGAGACGCATTTCCCTACGTAAATCATGCAAATTGTGCATGAGAATTATTAATAAATGATTATCAATAAGGATTATTATTAATCAAACATTCGATATGCGATGTATGGACGCGAGACTTAAAACTAGGACCTGACCTGGACGTGGAACGACTCTGTTACTGAAAAGGTGATTTTGGTAAGATAACAACTCCCCTCCTCCATCTTTTCCTTTTTTCAAGTCTGGACTCGAAAGAAAAAAAAAATAGATCTCTCTGTGTGATAAAAAGTTCAATGTGCCACCATTCAACCTGTGTATCTACGTACACGCACGCATCAACCAACTTAATCATGATCATTTCCATATCAAATAATCTCAAACTGGTCATCCAGAGAATGTGGCGATTCTGGTTCCTACGTACTTAGGACAAGACGTGCGTTCGTGAGGTTCACGAGACCTTTCACAGCAAGCCAATCGAGCAAATGTCGAACTTACTGTATCTCATGGATCACCTCCCCGAAGGAAGGCTTTCGTCCCTGGACCCCTGAAAGTGGATTGCTGATTACGATGTCCCTGTGATGCGCACAACATATGCATAAATGCATGGTCATTATACATCATGGGTAATAACAATAACAATTAATTTTTTTCGACGGTCCGGCACTAGACCATCCAAAGATTCAAAATAATTCGATGCGTTCCTTGTGAGTGGGAAGATTTTCATAAAACCAGAGTAGAGTCAAGTTTTTCATTACTATTATCGTTGTCGTTTCCTTTTTTTTTTTTTTTTTTTTATATACTTTTATATACGCGGCATTGATCACAGATTGTGATTCCCACTCCGACGGGATCATTACGTTGGGCAACATCACCGGAGATCTGGATGAAATTTTTCGCGACACGCTAGAATACCTCGGGCCTCGAGATTATTATTACTGTACTTTTTTTTCTCTTGCTGGAAAAAACTAACCCAATTGAACAATTTGAATCCAAGAAATTGATGGCGTACCACGGGAATCCTTGAATTGCCATGTCAAAAAGAATGTTTGAAAAACCCATCGAGTATGTGTGTGTGAAAATTTTTAAGGCAGTAGTAT